GACGGACAGTGGAAGTCCGAGCAGGGCAATCGTCTTGGTGATGAGACAAGTGGCTGCCTGCTGGGCCTTGCCCTTCGACTGCCAGCTGAAGGTCATGGTGGACCCAATGGGTGCCATTTCATGGAGTGTGGCCTGCCTCATGCTCCTAACCCCAAAAACCCCTGGGGCTGCCTTTTTGAAAGGAGGTGCCTCCTCCTGCCTCCCCTGGAGCTTCTCTTTTCCCTCTCTCAGACAACATGAACGAAGTGCCTTCCCTGGACAGGAGCCTTGGGTGGTGCCTCTCCAGATGTTGGTGGAGAGCAGTGGAGGACAGATGCCTGGGGTCTTACCCCGTCTGGACCACCCCAAGGCAGATATTGCAGCATGCCAGTTGTGGGTCATCACTGATAGCCATGAAAAGATCCCACATGGTCCCTCTGCCATGTTTGCCCAAAACGAGGACCCACTGCCTGCCCATGACTGCTGGAGTGGGAAGAACCCTGTGTCCCAAGGGTGCTGCTAGTCTGGGAGGAGGGAATAGATGACTTTGGGGACAGGGGTGGGGTGGGGCCTGTGAAGCCTGCCCTGCCATTACTGGTTCCAAATTCGACTGGGGATCTTTGGAAACCAGTAACTCCTCAGATTCCTCTAGGAAGAGCAGAGGCAGTTCTTTTGGCACCTCGGAAGCTTTGGTTCCATGCCTGCCTGCAAGGCCACAAGAGGAGGGACAGCAGCACTGGTTATCGTAGACGTGGTTGTGCACATGGTGGTCGTGATGACGGTGCTGCTGCCTAGCCTGCGTAGTTTCACAGTCTTCTTCCCCTTGGATTGCCCCTGAAGAAATCACTTCATTTTCTACTGCCTGCCTAACAAACCAAGTAAACAAATAAAACAATAGAGATTGAGGAAGGAAACTAATAGAGGGTCAAGAGAGTGTGTATAAATTTTATTTTTAGAATGATGGTGGTGTAATTCTTTTACTAAAATGTGACCTGCCTGCCTAAACAAAGCCCCCCCCCCCAGTATAATGTAATTGGGAAATCCCCCCCCCACAACCCACTGTGGCAGAGAAGCCAAAAAAGTCCAAAAAGAAAAGCCATGCCAGTGAAGTCTCAGACACCCCTCCCCAAATAAGTTTTGAAAGAAAAAGGAATGATGGATCCAGCCACCCACAAAATTCCCTGAGAGACACAAGCCTCTCTAAAATGAACTTTTGAAAACTGAATATAAAGGAAAAGAGATTCCACAGTCACACGACGAAAGTCCCCCCCCGACGATACACACACACACACACACACACACACACACACACACACACACACACACACACACACACACACACACACACACACACACACACACACACAAGCCTCCAGGGGGAAAAAGTTTTAATTGATTTGAATTTGAAATGAAATTAAGCCCTTCCGACGAAGTAGCCTAAGCTACCTGAAATCCCACCCCAACTTCCCAGTAAAGTTGATGATGATTGATGAATGATGATGAAAAAGAAAAATCTAAGTCTTTGCTTTGCTGCCGCAAAAGTGAAACTGCAAGACCACCAGCAAGCCAGCGAGGAGCAATTGTTCTCACTCCGGAGAGCACAAACAGAAGTGAGGAACGGCCGGATGAGAAAAGCTGATATATAGTGTCTGTAAAAGTAGATATACCTTTCAGCAGCACCATTGGCTGCTGGATATGCCAATCCAAGTCTCTGTCCTGATTAGCTAGAGCTTCTAATTGATGCCAGGAAGCTCAGAGTAACAAATATAGACGAATATGAATGGATCAACAAAACCGAGGAAATACTCATCAAGCCATATTCGTCAAGCTATATTCGTCCTGATTTAAAATTTTACAAATACAGATCGATGAATATGTGATGAATCAGCTATATTCGTCAGAAATACTCCATTTTTATATCCGTCCCCATCTCTATGTGACACCTCATATGCTACCCAGGAGTCTCGATAACATCAGGAATAACTGATAAAAAGTAAAGCCAAATTGGATGAGAAGCTTAATTTATTTTCTGCAAGTACCAGTGCATTGCAAATGGTACATAGAATTAAATTAATATCATGTGCAGGAGATACTGATGGACCCTGATGTTTTATGATGAGAGATAAAAGCCTTTTCCCATGTTAACACATCTTATAATAACACTTCCAATTTACTTCTGTTCAGCCATTGTCAAATGCAGGTGGACTGTATGTATATATCGTGAGAAAATTCTTCTTGATCACAAAGAATATTAAGCGATCTCCTATTAGGCTGCTATAAAAGCTTCAGTAAATGTGTAGTGATATATGTTTCCAAAAGTTTCATGTAGAAATGAGGGATTGGGACAACATGCCGATCTTGGACATAATACATTGCAAGCAGCAATATTATCTGTTAATGTTATTTTTGGGAAAGAGGTAACAAGGGTATAAAAGGCAACTTTCCAGAAATATCATAATGACTGCTGAGGTACAGCAGGAACCTCATGCCCTTTTCTGTTGCACTTGGTGGGGCTTTTCTGGATCACATGTAGACAGGTATCTAGGATCTCTCTGTGTGGTGTAAGCCCTGGTGGCAGCAATCAGAGAGAGTGGGATTGCTCCACTCGTGGCAAAGAGGATACTCACCACAATGTCATGACTAATCCTCCTAGAACAGTGGTGGGGAAAGCGCAGCTTAGTGGCTGCATGCAATCCTCAGCCTAAAAGTGGACCCAGCACCCCACAATCCCCCTCCAAAAATCATTATTTTTCTATATTCAGAAAGCTTCTTTGCACTCCCCAGTGGGAGAACCAACTCTGCCAGGAGGTGGGTTTTTTTTTTGCCCCGACCCAGTTATTTTAGATCTGTAGTTTTTCTTCTAAACCTGAAGTGACTTCAATTAACTTCCATTTTTGAAAGCCTAGAGGAATCTCAGAAGAACCTAATAGTCAGGATAAATCACAGACCTCTTATGCAGCATTAGAAGATGTGGTGTGTGGTGGAGGTGTTAATGATTAAAAAGCAGTTTGGAGTGTATGGGGGCAGGAGCAGCCTTCTAAGGCCGTGGAGTGAACATGTGGAGCTCCTGCACCTCTGGAAGTGGCTTTTTCCTATACTATAACTCTATATTAAGGAAGTGGGTGACCAATATTATATATTCATTTAAAAAAAATAAAAAGGAACAACAAGCAACCTCTTTTTTTCACTTACAAGGGCATTCCTATATATATAACAAATAACATAGTTACATTACTCCTATGGGAAAAGTTGCTTTTGAAAAATAACATTTTGGGATCTGCTAGTGGTAGGTGTGGCCAAAGAGTCCTTCTAACCCATTTTTCCATATACAAATACTTGTTACATACTTCCTTGCCCAGTTATGGCTGAATTTCCCATTTCCTATCTCTTTCTCCTTCACACATCCAGGGGAAAGTAATGCAAGCCATTCTGCTGGCAAGTGGTCAAAATCCTGTTGCATAGTGTAGTAAATCACACTACTGAAGGCCCACTGAATCAATGGGGATTTGGTGAGTCCACTCTATAAGGTCCATTAATTCAATGGGATTTATGAAGGAGTAGACTCACCAAATCCCCATTTCAGTGGTCCTACTGTAATGTGATTTATTGGGCTCTGCAACAGGATTTGGCTATTATATTTCTTTCCCATTGGGAGTAATAAAAAGGTTCAAGGTGGGTCCTGAAAAAGTCATGAAGTAAAGGGAAAAATCTCACTTCCACCTTCTGCCTTGCCAGCAGGAGGCCTGGCTGAGCACCGAATATGGCAATTAACCCCACTACAGAGTCTCAGTAGCTGCTGCTACTGAAGAGACATCTGAAAATTGATATTAAAAAATCAGCAGTGATCTGAAACATTGATATAAATGTGCTAAGTTGAAATTTCTGGGTAAACATAAATGTTTTCATGCGATGCTGAAAAGCCCTGAGTAAGGATACTAAGCAGAACAAGTGAAATAAAAATTCCTTAAGCGGTGTGCCACCCTAGGAAAGAACTTTCTTGTCCTTCTTTTCTATTGACCCAAGATGTGCCATCTTCTCAATCATTTTTCTCAATATTAAAGTTTAATTACATTTGGAGGATCAATTCTTCCAATTAGTAATGTTCAGAGAGATGGCTGTGTTAATTTGTTTTATCATTAACAAAAGCAAAGCACTGTGGCATCTTTAAGATTATCAAATTTATTTCAGTGTGCACTACAAGAATCTAAAGAAGTGGCTTGTAGTCCCAGAAAGCTCAAACCAAACTGAATTTATTAGTCTGGGAGACACAGCAATACATTTCCGTTTGTTGTTCTTCCACTGAGTAAGCTTCTGTACCAGCCATAGCTGTCTAAAATCAGCAGCCATTCTTCATAATAGAGTATCACTTGAAGGATCAGTTTGGTAAACAGATTCACAACCTGATCCTGTGCAATGGAACAAAATGACACATAAGATCTGGCACTGAGCAGCTAGAATTAGATGAAGCAGACAGCTCATCCCGTTGATCCAATGCTGGGATTCAGCTCTACCCTTTATAGCCAAACCCCATCTCAGAAACTCTAGCACTGTGGGATCTGTGCCCACTTCTAGTACCATCTGTCATTAAGTGATTCATGGGCATGAGCCACTGTTTGTTGTCTCTACAACTGAAGTGGGGCCACAGGATCAGGTTATCCATAAATGTTGGCATAAAACATTTTGGGATTTTGTACCCAATTCGCAGCGAATGGAGTGCTATTTTTTCACAAGTTAACACTGAATTTTACTTTCTTTTTTCCTTTACTTAATGGCCAAAATCCTGTTGCAGAGTGTAGTAAACTGTACTCAAGTAGACCCATTTAGGGGATCTGATGAGTAAATTCCTCTGTAAATTCCATTGATTCAAATAAGCCTACTCTAATTGCATCTTACTATGCTAAGCAACAGGATGCTGACCAATGTGTAGTTTCCACATTAGTCACCATTCAGGAAAGAGGTAAACAGCACAGCTAAGCTGCTAACTAAAAATAATGCAAGTTTCCAGTTCAGAGAGACATTACCTTCTTACATGCTGTGACAGAACTTCCAAGACTGCTTGCTGAACTATCTGTGCCAACACTTTGGTGCTCTGAGACTTCATACATCAGTGGGGATTCACAGTTACTGAAGAGAAAAATTGAAAAAAGAATCAGTTACACCATTTAAAAGTTTTATCCAACTCATTTCACTCCATTTCTTGCAGGTCGCCTAGTTAAGAGCACCACATGGATTAGGTCCATTTTGTTATTTTTGGACGTGTGCTCTTCAATAAAAGTTTGATGCGTTTTAAAAGCTAGAATACTGAGCTTTGCTGGACATAATAGCATCTGCCCACCTTCATGAAATATTCTCTTTTCCTTCAAGCAACCAGTTAAAAGGAGGCAAATTCACTCAACTGGACAAGATGCCACCATCAGAGAAATCGCATACTACATCTCATCCTGAGTCACCTATATCCTACCCCAAAAAAGTAAATTACAGCTGTTCAGAGACAAAAAAAAAATACAATGAGAGTGACTGAAGCTGGTAGCCCAAGCAGACTATGTTTATTATAATAGACCAGAAACTGTTAATGTGGGCTGGATGCCTGATTTTTTACTGCATTTGTGCTATACAGTACTAAAATGTAGACTCCAATGAAAAGCATGGATACAAAGCAATCTTTCTCAATGTGGCACCTTCCTGATACACTGGACTATTTGTTTGTTTGTTTGTTTGTCCCATCATCACCAGCCATCACACTATACCAGCTGTGGACAAAGATTGATGTTGTTCAAGATGTCATAGGGATACCAAGTTGATACAGAAGATAACATGGCTTAAAACTATTGTAATTAGGCACAATATCGTAATTTAGAACTGATGCCACTCTTACTAATGTTGCTACTGGATTAGTTTTATTTATTTATTTAAATATTTCAGCACTGCCTTTCTCCTTAAAAGGATACAAGGGAGCTCACATCATTAGAAAGACAATGTTCACAAGCTAAAAATAATTAGTACAAACATATTAAAAGAGAATTTAAAAGTATTATATTAAAAATGGTAATTAAAATCAACAGTAAAAAGACATTTTAAAGAAACAGAGTCCAACAAATTATTTAAAAAACCCTCCAAGACAGCCAGTTATTAAGAGAAAGCCTGTCTGAAAAGAAAGGTCCTTGCCTGCATGTGGGAAGACAGCAAAGATGAGGCCAGCCTGACATTCCATGGGAGGGAAGAACTCAGACTTCGTTAATGATCATTCAGAAAACAAAAGCCTTCAATGTTACCATCAAAGTAGTTTCCCTGAATTGTCCACGTAGATGGCATCTGTCACCACAAACCAATGTGCTACATAATGGTCACATAGTGTGTACCACGAATCTGCAAAGGTAGCTAGCTCTTCCTATGTGCTGTTGCTCATGTTCTATATCTCATTGTCTGGGGATGCACTGCTGTATTTGAAGAGCAAGCTTAGTTTATAAAAAAGGAGGCTTAAGGAGTAGATAGATTCCACCTCCCTATACTCCAAACTCATATTTTATGGTAGTAGATCTAGGACAAATTTTAAAAGACCCTTATTTACACAATTAATATGGAGCTCTTTTTTAAAAGTGGTAACTTTGCATGCTGCAAAGCAACGTGCTAGCTTCCAACACTTTATTTTCAATTAAATCTCTATCTCATGTGGTTCCCACAGGCACCCTTAGAAAAGTGCAGGCAGCTGCAAGCTCAGCACTTCAATTTTAAGGGTCTTCAGGTGCTCAAGACACAGTCATGTGAAAAAGAAAGTACACCTTCTTTGAATTCTATGGCTTTACATATCAAGACATAATAAAAATAATTAAAAACTGAAATGGAGAAGCCATGTTTGAAAAACTAAAGATTGTGTTTACCTATTTTTCAGACCTCTTAAGGACAAGATGATTTTTATTATGTCCCGATATGAAAAAACACAGAATTCAAAGAGGGTATATTTTTATTTTCACATTACTACAAAATGAAAAATGTTAAGCAGAGAGGAAGGACAATCCTGGAGAGGCAGGACCCAGCATCCTTATGACAAAATGGGATGGCAGGAAGTGAAGGGTGAGGTGAAATTTTACATGTGTACGTTAACTAGGGCAGGTGGTGTAGTGTATGCTATGATGTTGCATGCATTTTGCTAATTTTGGGGATAATACCTGTTTCATGTTTTACATGCCACTGATTTTGTTTTTGTTTGCTGCTAGTGGATGTTTCACTTCTATAGGGTATTTTGTGAAGTGGGTATTTTGCCATGCTTTGCAAGGGCAAATACTATATATACTTCGGCACTTGGGATCTTGCACTCAGTTTCTTTACCTAGTTACTGTACTTGTTTTTGGGTTACATCATATCACCTTTTGAAAAGGAGTGTTTTGTCAATGCCCATGCCCCTAACAACAATTTTTTACAGCACCCACATTTTCTCAAAGTTTTGAATGGTGATCCCCAGCTTGTGGAAATTTATTATTGAACCACAGAATTTTAGAACTGGAAGATAGCTCGCAGGTGGCAACATCTTGCTCAGTATACAATCTGCATTGCCAGATGAAATTACATCATTCATGACAAATAGTCTTCCAGCCTTTGCTAAAATCCCACCATGGAAGGAAGGCCCACAAGTCAAGCAGTTTCTCTCACTGTCAGGCTACTTGTATTATTTAAGATGTCTCTTCAAAGTCTGCTTCCTGGCAATTTCTCCTCATTGATTCTAGACCTTCCGTCTGGAGCACTGGAGAAAACACCTACTCCATTTTCTATTTGACTTCCATTGAACATTTTAAATCTTCCCTTTTCTTGGATAAACATACCTAGTTCTTTCACTTATTCTACACAGGACTGTATTTCTTTGCTTCTATGCATATTTTTCTTTTCACAACAGTGTAAGGATACAGGCAATTTTTAAGTAAGTAATATTTACATTAACAACAAACCTCGACAGCATCTTAAAAAGCAGAGACATCACCTTGCCAACAAAAGTCCACATATTCAAAGCTATGGATTTTCCTGTAGTGATGTATGGAAGCGAGAGCTGGACCCTAAAGAAGGCTGACCGCTGAAGAATTGATGCTTTTGAATTGTGGTGCTGGAGGAGACTCTTGAGAGTCCCCTGGACTGCAAGCAGATCAAACCTATCAATGCTAAAGGAAATCAATCCTGAGTGTTCACTGGAAAGACAGATCCTGAATCTGAGGCTCTAATACTTTGGCCATCTGATGAGAAGAGAAGACTCCTTGGAAAAGCCCCTGATGTTGGGAAAGTGTGAGGGCAAGAGGAGAAGAGGACATCAGAGGATGAGATGGTTGGACAGTGTCACTGAAGCTACCAACATGAATTTAACACAACTCTGGGAGGCAGTCGAAGATAGGAGGGCCTGGCGTGCTCTGGTCTATGGGGTCACAAAGAGTCAGACATGACTAAATGACTGAACAACAACAATTTACATTAACACATTGGAACAAATCTCATCTAATTCCCTTTTAAATCCAAAAAAGGCAGTAGCCATGTCACCTTCTAACAGTGTCTACAGTTTAATAGTCCATAGGCTGCACTGCAGTGATGTAACTACCTTCAATTCACCACAGACCATTTTTTTCTGATAAAGGAAAGTTTAACCCAGGAAAAGAAGTTTGCATGGATTCACAGAAAGCCTAAAACATCAGTGTACTTGTGATGACATTGAAAGAAACAGGCTGCATCTCAGATTGAAGATCAGGGTGACATTTAAACCTCTTCTCCTCAGGTTCACTGGAGAATGAGATATGTTTCACAGCTATGTGACCTCTAAAACCAGCTATTTCTTCCACTTAGCAAAAGAAGAGCAGATAATATGAAAAGATATGGAATAAAATGAGTTATTCAAGATAAGCGTTTAAAACTTGAAAGTGAAGAAGAGTTGCTATCTTTGGGTTCCAAAGGGATTAGCAGCACAAACCCTTGACTATCCATTTCACGCTTCACACTTCTTAATTCTTCTGCTCTATGTTTGGCAGTCTTTTTGCTGTCTCTACATGAACATTCAGAGCTTGTACCTGTACGATACATTGGCAACAGCAAAGGCTGCTCTAAAAGTAAATAACAATAGTATTAGAGAAAATGTATCAATATTTCCTAGACCTGGATCTGTGTAAACCTCTATGTGTGCAATGAAGAGTCCACCATCAGCAATACTGAGAGTATTGGTGTGAAGGGTACTGTTAGGCCAATGTCCTGCATTGTTCCGGAAAGGAGAGGGGGGTGCAACTGTAGTCTAAAAAACAATGTAAAGCAAGGCTACAGAGCATTAATTGCATAACAAAAGACAGACTGCTATTTAATGAAAGATAAGTACTTTTCATTCCTCCCCCCTTTTTTTGTATTTACACAACTGTGCAGTATCACTGGTTCTCTGGAAAGTTCATGTACAAATACAACATTAAAATACAGTAGACAGAATCCTATAGGTATTTGCATAGTTTCTACATAACTTGCTGCAGCTGATTGCAGTTAACTGATAAGGCGCGAGGGTACATCTCAGTTGTGTGCCTGGTTATATACTGACTGTGGAAGCAGGACGCACCCCAGCCACTCATCAATTAGCACAAATAGGTCTTAGCAATAGGCCAAGCTTTACAGTCTCCAAGCAACCCCTAGAAGAAAGGAATGACAAACCATTTCTAAGTATTTCATATCTGAAAACCCTAAGAAAAGTCATGATAAGTCAGAATGATGACATGCTTTTGTTCAAAAATACCAGACAAAATCAATCAAAACATAGACTTGTTTTATACAACAGATACACGTTTTAACCAACAACCATAGGCCAAGCTTTACAGTCTCCAAGCAACCCCTAGAAGAAAGGAATGACAAACCATTTCTAAGTATTTCATATCTGAAAACCCTAAGAAAAGTCATGATAAGTCAGAATGATGACATGCTTTTGTTCAAAAATACCAGACAAAATCAATCAAAACATAGACTTGTTTTATACAACAGATACACGTTTTAACCAACAACCTAAGTATTATTATTATTATTATTATTATTATTATTATTATTATTATTATTATTATTATTATTATTATTATTATTATTATTAAGCCCCAATGACTATGGGGATGTTTCGATTGCCAGGTGTC